AGTTCCTTTTGCACCCCACCTCCCTGCTTGCAGAACCCCCACTTTCCAAGTAGCCACATGAGGTGCCAGAGTGGTGACCCTGATTCTGCCTTTGCTCTGCCTGGTCCCTAAGCGCACTTCAGAGGGTCAGAGGCACACCTGACACCTGGGATCTGAGCATGGCGTGCTTCCTGTGCGTGCTTTCTCAACTCCTAGTGAGAGCATCCCCTTTGGGGACTGAACAATTATCTTGAGCTCTAAGGCTCCACAGGACTGGAAGTCATACCCAGCAAAAGAAACAAGGAAGGTAGGTCCCTGACCCCACAACCGCTTGGGACTCCCGGCCCCCAGACACCCAAGACACAAGTAATCTTCCTCTTTTAAATGCCTGCTATTTTAGCCAGGCATGGTAGAACAAGCCTTTAATCCCAGGACTCAGGAAGCAGGGACAGATATAACTCCATGAGCTTGAGACCAGCCTGGTCCATTGAGTGAGTTCCAGGACAGCCAAGACACAGAGAAACCCTGTCTTGAAAGACCTCAAAACAACAACAGGGAAAAAACAAAACAAAAAAAATCACCAAACACCTGCTATTTTGGCCCTTTCTGCATTTTGCAGCTGAACCTAATCCTAATGAATGGATTGTTTGCAAATCAATCCCCCTCTGGCAGGAGTGCTAGCTTCCATCTTGCCGATATAGTATCAGCCTTACCACACCCCTGCGCGACAAAAGCGGCTCTCACATCCCAAAGAAGCAAATCTAGACTTCTCTGCTCTGCATTTAAAACCCTATAACCTGGCCCTGCGTTGCAACTCCCCACGGACACTACCAGCATGTGTGCGTACTTCAGCATTAACCTTCCACGGCAGACCCGTAACTCCACTCGGTGTCTTCATTCTCGCTTGAATGGAGTTTAGGACAGCTGAGGTACCGGGTAGGTTATCACCCTTTGAAAATAAAATGTCAGTGGGGATAACTTACACAGCCCTTAACAGCTGAGCAGATAAAATGTAACATGGTGGAATAGTCTGTAGTAGTAGGAAGGACTCACTACTTAGTGTATAACATAATATACAGCAAGCATGGTAAGTTACTAATAATGAACAAGATAAAACACAAAGCTATCTGGGTGGTGGTGGCACACGCCTTTAATCCAAGCACTCAGGAGGCAGAGGCAGGCGGATCTCTGAGTTTGAGACCATCCTGGTCTACAAGAGCTAGTTCCAGGCCTGCCTCCAAAGCCACAGATAAACCCTGTCTTGAAAAACAAAAAGCAAACAAACAAACGAAAAAATATAAAGCTAATCTATAGTCCTAGACATCAGTATGGTGGTTACACAGAACGATTGGCACACAAACGTGGGTATGAGGGGGTCTGGGTGCTGCGGTTATTCTGTGGATAAATTAGATTGTTGTTTTATACACATGTCCTCATGCAGGAGCACCCTGGATTTGAGCACTTTATACATGTACACATCATAAAAGGTTTACTTCCAGAAACTAATATTTGAGCCAGGCGGTGGTGGTGCGCGCCTTTGATCCCAGCACTGGAGAGGCAGAGGCAGGTGGATCTCTGTGAGTTCAAGGCCAGCCTGGTCTACAGAGTGAGTTCCAGAATAGTCAAGTCTACACAGGGCAACCCTGTCTCAAAAAACAAACAAATAAATAACAAAAATTGTGGTTAGTCAAAGAATAGAGAACATACAAAAGCTATTTCTAGTCTGAGTTTAAGAAGCCCAGGGCTCACTTAGCTGGAATGGATGATTCAAGGTCTTGAGATGGCGAAGTGAGCTCATCTCCTTCAGTTTTCTCTTGGGCTCAAATGTAATTACAAGAATCTGAGAGACAGTTATGGGAGAAGGGCAGCAGGAAGGGAGGGCAGGTAGGGGTTAGACCAACTGGGGAGGTGAGAGAGACAGAGAGGGAAACAGGACAGAGAGACTGGAAGATGTTACTCCTGCCTTTGAAAATGGAGGAGAGACCAGGAGCCAAAACATGCAGTCAGTCCTAGAAGCCAAACTACAGGAGGGGCCATGTTCCCCTGGAACCAACATGAAGAAGGTGCCCGGCTGGCATTTCCATGTAGCCCCTTTGAGATCCATTTCCACTTCTGAGCTCCGGGGCCGCAAGATAATGAATTAGCATGAAGCCGTTACATCTGCGGTGACTGTGCTATAGCAGCCTTGGGAGGAACTCCAACAACCTTAAGTGGCAATCAGTGAGTCTGGTAGGCACATCCACAGGTAGACAGTGACTCCCTCTGCCAGCGGTCTTAGAACTTCAAACCTGCTTAGTCACTGACTACACACACACACACACACACACACACACACACAGCTGTTTTGTGAAATTTTCAGTTTCAACCAACTCACTCAGCAACCTAGGGTACCGGACAAACTCACATTAACTACGTTTGACCCTCGGAACCTACGACATAACCCACGGAAGTATATCTCCTGTTTGATGAGTGGTCTAACCGAGGACAAGGTGTTGACAAATATAGACAGTGAGTACCAGGCATTTCCGCTCAGGGTTAGCCTCAGTGTTAAGCATTCCCTGTGCACTAGCTTTTCCCAACAATGCTACTCTTTGATTTACAGACGAGGGAACTGAGGCACAGGGCCCGCGTCACCTTTAAAAGTCCTTTCCCGTGTGAGGCTCTGGCAATGGAACCCAACCCCTTCAGATGTCAAGAACAGTAGTTCCCCTCATCTGTCCAGGCCACTGTCATTTTCACTACTGAACATGCATGGCAGAGGGCTTAGCCCAGCCCCGCCACTAAGCCACCTTCAGGCTGTGGTGACTGTCTGGCTGCTGAACTGTACTGCAGAATTCAAAGGTGACCTCATAGGCTGGAGCTCCAAGGGGCTCACCGGACTCTTGCAAGAGCATCCAGCACTGTTTCCTAGCAACACCACAGTGCACAACTCTCTGGGGGACCAGCCATCCCCATAGTCTTGGGCATCACCCCATGTTCACATTAAACAGGGAGGGGAGTCCCGCTGAGCTTTCCCCCCAGAGAACTGGGGCTCCCAGGAAAGGAGGCTGTGCATGGTACAGAACCAGGAAAGCAAATCCTGGGGGGATTCCTAGAGAGGTGTTTGCTGCCCTGGCTGTTCCTGCTTCTCCACAGAGCTCTACCAATCCCAGCTCTCCTTAGTCACAGCTCACTGGGCCAGCTTTCCCTGAGAGATGCCCTCTCTCCGTCTCTCCTTCGCCACCCCCATATCTCCCTGTGCCTTCTCTTAGTTGCCGATGAAAATTGCTTCTAGGCAAACTGATTTCCCCCCCCCCAGACTCTACAGTAGTTGATGTCCCTTCCCTGTCTTTCAAGGAGCAACATCTCATTGCCTGTCCTAAAATCTTAAGCCTCATTTCAATTCTTTCTTTCTTTTCTTTCTCTCTGTCTGTCTGTCTGTCTTTCTTCTTCCTCTTCCTCCTCCACCTCCTCTTTTTTGAGAAAGGGTCTCATTGTAGTCCAGGTTGGCTTTGGACTCATTATTTAACCAAGATGACCTTGAACTTCTGATCCCCTGGCCTCTCTACATTTCAAGTTCTGGGATTATAGCATACATCACCATGCCCAGTTTTCACCTAGCCTTCTGCTGTCAGAGATGGATGGATAGTCTCAGCTAGTAGGAGTTTAGAGCCTGCCAGTTGCCCAAAGGTATTTCAGACTTCAATTATGCTATGGTACCTCTGGCCTGTTGGCTTCTGATTGCCTGGGTCTGTACTCAGGAGCCAGGATCTCCAGAACCCTGATTTATAGAAAAAGAGCTGGCTGGTGGTTTGGAGGCTTGAGGCTAAATTCTATCAACTGGAATAAAAATAGGAACAGGGAGAAACAGAAGATGAAAATCTGCAGGCATTAGCCTTCAGCGAGGTTTCTAAGAGAATGAACTTCAGAGGCATAGGGGAAGCCTCCCAGGACACAAACCCACCTCGGGGTCTTGACTGGCTTTGTGAAACTATCCCTTTGAAAGCAGACAAAGGGAATGGTCCTGAAATAGACTTGGGCACAAAAACACCATTTACACGTACAAACTACCTGTCATATTCATGCATCCCTCAAGAGGCTTTCCCCTAGAATGGGGGCGGGGAGGGGGTGAATTCAGTGTCCATGTGGACTCTTTACATTTTTCCAGAAAGGTGGGTGGGTGGTGGAGATCACTAACCGAAGGAGACTTCTAGAACTACTCCCTGGACTTCTGTCAAATCTCGTTTAATCCCCTCCAGATGGATGAGGAAACGGAGGTAAACCGTTGTTGGTTCTCCCCAAGTACTCCAGCCTTTAAACCTGGCAGCTGGGGTTTGAACGCGGCGGACTGGCTCCCAAGTATCTGTTCTTCATCGGGGCTCAGCAGCCTCTTCCTTGTCCATCCCTCAAAGGCCAAGGAGATGTGTATTCTGCACACGCATTGTGGGAGTGCCATCGTTATCACTGTTGACTAGTAATTGGGTTTGTTCAGGGTGGTGGAAGCATGTCCCAGAGCTGAGGATCTTCCAATACACCTACTCCTGGAGATCTAACCTGGGGTTGTTTCCATGTTTTTCTGCCCTCTCCCCAAACTGCGCTCCGGGTTTCCAGCAACTACCACAAAATGCCCTCTTCCCGCATTGCAAGGAAGTCGGAGCAGTTACAGAGAACGCAAAGGAAATCCAGACGACCCTGGCCTGGGGACTCCAGTCTACAGGGGAAACCGAGTCATTTTCTACCTGATGGATAGGACCACAATACCGTTCAACAAGTCCCCATTCCCTAGTGGGTGTGGAGCGAGCGTGTCTGGGTGTCCCTGTGGCGGGGCACAGCGCCCTCGCGGGGCACTCAGGGGCCGCTGCGGCGCCGTGCGCCCGCGCCTGGCCCGGCGTGGCGGGACTTCTCCCTGCCGAAGGGGGACCCGGCAGCGTCACCTCCCTCTCCCACTCTCCCCAGTGGACAGCGGCTCCCCGATTGCGCCGTGCGCGTCTGTCGGTCGGTGGGTCGGTCTGTCCGCGCCCGGGGCGGCGCGCCGCGCTCACCTGCAGCCACCGCCGCCGGCACCGGGAAAGCGAGGCAGGGGCGCAGTCGCACGGGTCTGTCTCGGTCGTTCGCCGCCTCGCCCCGCCGAGGACCGCAGCGCCCCTGGAGCACCGCTCCCGAGACGCGACGAAGAAGCCCGCGCCAACGCCGTGTCCTGAGCCGCCGCCTTCAAGTCCCATCCCAGAGCGCTCCCCGCGCTTGCTGGCTGCCTGCGAGGCTCTGGGCGAGGGCGGCGCGGGGAGGCGGTACCGCGCGGGGGTGGGGAGCGGGCGGGCGGAAGGAGGGGGTGTCCTCTTTGGGGATGGGGAAGGCGGGGAGAGGCGGCGGCCAGAGCTGCCCAACCCTGCAGACAGCCCCCAGCCCGGAACCGTGGCTGAGCTCCCTGCCTACTGCCAACCTCACTCTCCCTATGCGTCCCCAGCCAGAGTGGGATGGATGAGTCCCCAGAGATAGGAGTAACCGGAGGCTTTAGGAGCTCGTTCGTTGGTCGGGGGTGGCGGGGGTTCCTGGTAACAGGAGGCATAGCGGGAGTCCTATAACCTGAATCGGGGGGCTATTTTCTGCAGGGGGCATCCATCGACCACGATGATGGGAAATGGTGAGAACTGAAGACGACTTGTGACAAGCGCCAGGAGCTTGTCTGGGCAGTTTAGGACCGCCCCACCAGCGCCAATCCATATTAACAGTATCCACTGGCCTTGGACCAGCCCCTGGGGTGGGGAAGGAGAAGAGGATGCCAAGATGAAGAATCGAGATTCCTCCCCTGAAGGAGCAAAGTCTAGTTCAGGCAAGACTTAACGAAATTATGGGCAAGATTTCTGTAACTTTGTTAAGGGAGGGAAACCTCACCTGATAGAGCGGCCCTCCTTGGAGGGACACAGAAAGCGGGCCTGATCAGTAGCAGGGAACCAAGCTGACCCCCCCCCCACACACACACCCTCTCTACTACATCTGGGAGGACAGGACTCTACAGTAGGCCCGGACATCTCCCAATAAAACCCCCGAATTTTATCACCCAACTGCTAAACCCCATCCCGGTTTTTAGCAAAACACCAGGGAGAATCACCAGCTAACTACTTTGAAGTCCTCCGGGTGTGTGTGTGTGTGTGTGTGTGTGTGTGTGTGTGTGTGTGTGTGTGTGTGTGTCTGCTTTTGCCTGTGTTTTCTTAGTACCCATCAATTGCTATTCGATGAGAGGGGGTCCCTAGAATACAAGTTAAGTGTCACGCACAAGGCCTATTCCTTCCCAAAGTTCCAGGGGTGGGTAGTTAAAAATACCATCCACAGTCCCTGGTGGCGGTGCACACCTTCAGTCCCAGAGCCCAGGAGATAAAGGCAAGTGGATCTCTGTGAGTATGAGGGCAGTGTGGTCTCCATGGTGATTCCAGGCCTGCTAGGGTGCCACGGTGAGGCAGTCAAAAGCAAAGCAACAGAAACAAACAAAGGGTTAACACACTCTGGCCTTCCGGCCAAGAAACAAGCAGGGAGTAACCCTTCTGTGTTCCTCACCTGAACGTTTGGCCCACAGGATGCTGCTCGCAGTCTGCACCAGTTAAAAAATGTTTTCCTTTCCGTCTTTGGGAGGAAGAAGACTGAGATCAGAAAACGGAGCAAAGTCTTCAGGAAATGTTTGGTCTCGGATCCCACTGAGGAAAGTTCACCCTGAGTTAAAGCCAGTGGAAACCACTGAGGGGCTGGGAAAGTGACAAATTGTGGAAACTTGTGTTTTAAAAATGTGTGTCTCTGCTCCAAGACACCCGTAGGATTGAGGGATTTACCAGGGAAACAATAGCTATCTGGAAACCCTTCCGATTTTTAAGGAAGCTCTGGCTTAATAACGATCCCCATTATCTGGTTTGTGCCAGCAAGAATGGGTGTTTCCCACCCTCTGGGGAGTTCCATGGGAATTCTTCGGAATCGGAAACCTCTGGGTGGAGTAGGGCTGAGGGCAAACAAGGCAAAGGGGTCAGACGAATGGTTCTCCACCTCGAGGGACGCAATTCAGGTCTATCAATCAATAAATAAAAGTGGTGACTGGAATGCAAGTTCAGTGTCCTGAAATACATACTCAGAGCAATGGTTTACCTCTCTGGTACCTCCAGTGCAGGGATGCAGGGCAAGTTGATGAGAAAGGCTGTTGGAGGAAAAGCCCAAACCCGCCCTTCCTGCATGAGGCTCCACTGCGGATGCACCGGAAGCCGCATTCAGAAGAAGCCTGGGCTAAGATTTCTAACTTACATGGGGCCCCACACGAGAAACAAGACTTGAAGGCAGTAGGATCTGGGGGCTTGAGAGATGACTTGTTAGATCAGTCTCTGACGAGGGTCTGGAGAGCTCATTAGTTGTTTTGTCAACTTGATAGAAGCGAGATTCGTCTGGGAAGAAGGAACTGAGAAGATGCCTCCATGAGACTGGCTTGTAGGCAAACTCGTGGGGGGATTTTGTTTTTCTTGTTTAATGATTGATATGGGAGAGTTCAGCCTACTGTGGGTGGTACTACTCCTGGGCAGCGAGTCCTGGGTTTTATTTTTAAAAGCAAGCTGACTGGGGCTTACTGGTACCCATCTTTAGTTCTAGCACTTGGGAGGCAGAGACAGGCGGGTCTCTTGAGTTTGAGGACAGCCTCGTCTACAGAGAGCAGGTTCCAGGACAGTCAGGGATACACAGAGAGACCCTATCCTGAAGAAAAAAAATGAAAACAAGTAAATAAAAGAAACAAGCCATGGAGAAATCTAGTAATTGGCACTCCTGCATGCTCTCTGCTTCAGTTCCTGTCTCCAGGTTTCCATCTTGACTTCCCTCAATGGACTGGAACCAAGGTTATATACGCCAAATAGACTCTTTCTTCCTGAAGTTACTTTTGATCAGTGGTTTTTTTGTTTTTTTTTTGTTTGTTTTTTTAATCCCAGAAATAGAAAGCAAACTAGCACAGGGTCTATTTGGAGTTGGAGGGAGTGTGTCATCTCAGATAGGCCTCAAACTTATGAAGGGCTCAAATGTAGATTGTTCCTCAAGGTGTGTGTGTGTGTGTGTGTGTGTGTGTGTGTGTGTGTGTGTGTGTGGTGGGGCGTGTTTAATGCATGGTTATGCCTGTGGAGAGCCAGAGGACAACCCTGACTGTCATTGCTCAGAGGTTGATTGCGTTGGTTTCCCAGACAGGGTCTCTTGATGACTGGGAGCTCACTTAGACAGGGTCTCTTGATGACTGGGAACTCACTTAGACAGGGTCTCTTGATGACTGGGAGCTCACTTAGACAGGGTCTCTTGATGACTGGGAACTCACTTAGACAGGGTCTCTTGATGACTGGGAACTCACTTAGACAGGGTCTCTTGATGACTGGGAACTCACTTAGACAGGGTCTCACATTTACGGGGATTGCATTGCTCAGAAGTTGATTGCCTTGGTTTCCCACACAGGGTCTCTTGATGACTGAGAACTCACTTAGATAGGGTCTCACATTGCTCAGGCTAGCCTGGCCAGCCTGCTAGTTCCAGGGATCCGCTGTCTCCTGCTTCCCCGGGGCTTGGGAATACAAGCACTTATCACCATGCCTGGGTTTTTTGTTGTTGTTGATCTGAGTTTTGAGGATCTGACTCAGTTCCTCATGCATGCTTGCAAGGCAGGCACTTGGCCAACTGAGCCGTGTCCCCAACCTATGGATTCCAATGTTTTGGTTTGGGGATTTTTTTTAAGGATTGAATTTTATTTTATTTTTTGTTATGTTTTTTGAGACACGATTTCTCTGTATTGTTTTGGAGGCTGTCCTGGAACTCACTTGGTAGACCAGGCTGGTCTCGAACTCACAGAGATTCCCCCTGCCTCTGCCTCCTGAGTGCTGGGATTAAAGGCGTGTGCCACCAATGCCCGGCTAATTTTAATTTTTAATTATATATATTATATATGTGAGTGCGGTATGGGTTTTTGCACAAGTGCAGCATCAGGAGGCCAGAAGAGGGAATTGAATTCTTGGAGCTGAAGTTACAGACAGCTGTGAGCTCTACAGCGTGGGTACTGGGAAACCAAACTCCGGTGCTCTGCAAGAGCAGTATGGAACCTTAAGCTCTGAGTCATCTCTCTAGCTTCCGCAGATTCAGATGCTTTTGTGGAGTCCTGAGCGAACCCAGGTCCTGAGGATGAAGGCAAGCTTTTCACTTCTTTACAAAACTTGCCCTACGCCACGCTTGGCGGGGACTTCTCAGCTTTAACCCGGGAGTTCAGAGCTTGTGGTATCCGTGGAAACGAAGAGTAGAATGAGACAAGAGAGTGCAGGGGAGTCTGTAAGCAATTGGACCTTGACCTGTGTAGAACCATCACCTGGAAACACATTACGGTCTTCCCATCCAAAACCTCCAAAGAACGGGCACCAAGTGGTCTATATCTATCTTCCCTCAAAGACATTACTGAGTCTATGCACTGGCTGCCTGCTGTTAAAATCAGCTTGTGAGATACTTGGGCAGTGACTATATCCATCTGTCCTATCACACACACACACACACACACACACACACACCACCCAGCCCTGGCAGAGCTTAGCAAGGAGAGGCCGGAGAATAACAAAATAGCAGCTGCGAAGACTTTCCCACATCCTCCCTTGCCCATGAAAGCCAACAGTGACACGGCTAGTACCAGAGTCCAACAGAAGGAGAAACAATACAAATAGTTAATGGAAAGAATAATGTGATTACCTGCCAAGAACCTCACGTACATCACCAGATGGAAAAAACATCTGCCGTGCAATAAAGTGGACCATTTCATTGATGGTGAAGTCTCCAAAAAAAACAGTGGAAGAAGATGCAATAAAATCAAATTCTGGAAGAGTTGAAAGGGTGTTTTTTTTTTTTAAGATTCATTTATTTCGGGCTGGGGAGATGGCTCAGCGGTTAAGAGCACTGACTGTTCTTCCAGAGGTCCTGAGTTCAATTCCCAGCAACCACATGGTGGCTCACAACCATCTGTAATAAGATCTGGTGCCCTCTGCAGGCAGAGGACTGTATACATAATAAATAAATAAATAAATAAAATACTAAAAAAAAATACAATGACTTCTAAAAAAAAAAGATTCATTTATTTCATGTGCATGAGTGTTTTGCCTACACACACACACACACCCCTATATACATATCTGCATGCATGCCTGATGCCTTTTGAGACCAGAAGAGGGTGTGTTGGCTCTCCTGGAACTGGAGTTATATGGTTATGAGCCATCATGTGGATTCAATGGAATTCTAG